GGAACTTTGTATGTTTGGCACTAAGAGAGTGCATTGTCACATTCCGATACTCGATATGAGGCGTAATTCGTACTTATGTTATTTTATATAGTGGGCCCATAAAATACATACGTACATAAATAAAAAAATATAATACAATCTAACATCTTATGTGATATGTACATTAACTGTATATACAAACATGAGATTAGAATTTAGAATCTAATATAATAAAATAAAACTTTTCGAATATGCACAAAATATATAAAAATAAGAACCTTTTTACAGGGTTCTACTCGTCTGCCAGCGGGCTGACTCTTCATTTTCCTTTGAAAAATATCAGGGTGAAATTTAATGAATTTCACCAACTCAATAAATATTTCCGTTCTCTCAATTCAGATAAAATTTCATGCAAAACACACAATAAGAAACAAAAGCAATAAAAATGTTTCAGTGCAAAATTCATTTTTTATTTTCACTATTTCACATGTTACTGATCGATCGATCTGCTGAATTCTCTCGAATATCATATACAAATCTCAAATATATATTCTCATACTTCTGAAAGAATATAAATACACTCGAATATCATTCATCATCTCGAAACATAATCACACACACACAAAAAAGATCACAGATACACTCGAATATCATTCATCATTTCGAAATATAATCACATACACCCTGAAGATCACTTATACACTCGAAATGTCATTTTTAAGATTTCATCGCGCGATGCCGTTTATGTCATCATCGAGAAAAGACGAAATGGATCCCCAAATTGCATGGATAGCACACACACAAATCACACAATGGCCACTCGAATATTATTCATCATTTCGAAACATAATCACATGCACACTAAAGATCACTTATACACTCGAAATGTCATTTTTAAGGTTTCATCGCGCGATGCCGTTTATATCATCATCGAGGAAAGACGAAATGGATCCCTTAATCGTATGGATAACACACACAAAAATCACACAATAGCTACAGCAGGTATGTTTGCTAGGTGGCCCACACTCACACGAATGCCTATTCACGTGTGAATTAAGTTTCAGACTTTATCCATGTGCAGGTTCACTATGCCCCCTGAACTCCAGCCACACACACGCATTCCCCTCATCGATTCAAACTAAACGAGAAGGTATTAGGGTTCCTACCCTATTCACTCATTCCCTCTCTTTCCAAAATTGTCAATTTGTTTAAATGATCATTTTTTAATCTCAATTATTTCTTTTCCTTTTTATTTTTACATTTTTATTTTATTTCTTTTCCTTTTCAATTTTTTCCTTAATTGAGAATTTTTTTTTTCAATTTCATATTTCATTAGTTCAAATAATTTTCAGTCCATTGGGTCTGTTTTCTGCTTTCGTCTCCTCATAGGGTTCCAATTGTTTAGGTTTACTGATTATAATTTGGATTTTATTTTTCATCGAAATTGGATCAATGTCCGTTGAAATTTCAAAATTCATAATTTAATGAAATGAATGCACTTTTCGAAATTCGAACTTGGTTGAGATTTAGAAATATTTACTCTTCTACGCGTCTCTTCGGATCTATCTGAATG